GCTTAAATTGCAGGTGGATGGCCTGTTCTTGTTCTCCTTGGTCCTCCAAGGAGAATATTCTCCTTGCCCGTTGATTCCAGTCGCATAAGATGCGGTGGCCGCGAATGTCCAGCGTAACGATATCTGTCCTGACACCTTTCTGCGCTAAACGGTTAAATCCAGCCTGGCGTTTTGCGTACAGCGCTCCAGGCTGGTCTGTTCTCTGCAGACGACGAATTTAAAAGCGGAAACCCAACGTGTCGGTCTGTGAATCAGCCAGCTCCTCAATTTTGCTGATTAAGGCTATGAAAGACTTACCGCGACAGGCAACGCAAAAGATAAGCTACCAAAATGTTAGCCCTGCTCATTTGCAGCAATTTGTGTGTGTGTGTGTGTGTGTCAGGGTGGGGAACAGCATACGGCATTAGCTGACAAGATTTATACACCCTGACTGAGGTCAGTTAACATCATGTTTTCCTTAAGCAGATGGGGATTATGTAGTTCTGCCTTCCTGAAGGCAAGCGTTCGTTAACTGCATTCGTCCATTACAGGGACTCTGCTGTATGACCTTCTCGAATGTGGGAAAATGCAAAACGTTCAGTCACGTATATTTATTTTTAGTCAAGAGGCAAAGCCTTTATAGCCCTGTGGTTTAATCAACTTCAAACAGTCAAGCAAGCAGAAGTTTGCAAAGACTCAGCTGGACTGTTGGCCTGAGCACCAAAGCATGGCGGGAGTTTAGTTCGCAACTCACTATTCTAGTAAGCAGTCGGATTAGAATTGGCACCTGAAGCGGAAGTCAGCACACAACACAAGTGCCACTAAAATTGCATTAACTTTTAAAAGCGATACAGGCAAAGAAAGTAAAAGTCAAATCATATGAAGTATGAAGTTTTAAAGAAGGCTTTATTTTATTAATATTTCTTGCTGTTATCCATTTATCTGTCTAGTTTTTGTAAGGACAATCTATGCTGTTTTAGAAGGTGAAGCTGGTCACAACGTTTGCATTGTGAAAAAGTTGGCTGAAATGGGCCGAAGTTAGCTTTCTTCGTACATCGTTCTGCTTTTTCTTGAAAACCTGCGGAAGAGGGGAAACAACAGGAAAGACACAGAGTACAGTTTCTGTCTCATGTCTGTTTTTACTTGTAGTCTTGCTATTGAGGAAACAGAGGCCCTTCCCCTTGTCTTATCAAATGTCCCAAAACCTGGAAAACATATGCCAGTGTACTGTTTAAAGCATGGATTTTAATTACTTCCCTGGTCATCAGCTGGCGGGGGGGGGGGGGGGGGAGGGAGGCTGAAAAGCTGTGCCCTGGAGCAATTAAGTCCCAGTTACTGAAAAGAAATCACAGAGCAAGAGGAGAAAGAAAAGACAGTGAAAGAGAAAAAAACACCCCTTGGTAAAGACGCTGTCAGGTTCAGAATAAGAAAGACCCAGAGACTTCAGGAGAGGGTAGGTGACAAGAGCATGGTAAAGCTTGCGCTTGTTCATTCTGCTCTCACCCGAGTGTGGTAGCTGTCAGTTGTTCTGTTTCTTATAAATGAGTCTAAACTCTGGAACATTGGCTTTCCTTTCTCCTTTTCTTCACTACTTGTGACTTTAAAGCTGGCCTTAAGTGGATTCAGAAGGCCTTTGAGTCTGAACTCATCCAGCCTTAAAGCCTCAGCTTCTAAAGACTTGGAATGTGTTGGATTTACTTGCTGTTGCTTTAGAGAGCTTGGAGCATGTTTATCTGTGGGAACGGGAGAAACTATCTGAGAGGTAGCAGTAGATGGAGGTCTACTTTCTACTACAGCTGAGAGCATCCATATGACACTACTATGCTATAAGTCTATCTCATCCTTTAAAGCATAGACTGAAATGCAACCAATTAGAGTGTTCTGATGAAACCAGTTCTTGGGTCAGAGCTGGCACCCTGACACATATGAAGTAGAAAGGAAAGTCATTTGAGGAAATTGTTTGCTAGCCTTCAATACAAAAAGATGCTTTAATATAAGACTTATCACTATTATAAAGCCTATAATTACTCCTCCCCAAAAACCTCCTGACAGCCTTTGCTATGTCCATAGCCCCAGCAATACCAAAGCCCTACTGTAAAATCTAAGGATTTGGTGGAAAAACCTTATATGGGAGTAGCCTGCTCTGGCTATATCTGCAAGGCAGAAGGAGGTGAATGTTAAAAGACTGCATATTTAATTTGCAGCTCCGTCAGCTCTCCCACTAAGCAGTTGCTTCTCATTGAACGTGTTCAAAGGCTCTCTAGTGCAGGGGTAAAGCACCCTTTCTTGACTGTACAACCGCACGTCAACCTCCTCTTCCTAAAGGTGGTACATAGCCTTGAAGTCACTGAAACATCACTTACACAACCTTGTTCTCCTTTCAGGAGTTCTCACCCATTACTGTGAAAAACAACATCCTATGAGTTTGTTTCAAGCTTTCTCCCTCATCACCGGCCTCAGATAATCTGTTCCCCAAGCTGTTCTCAGGGGCAGTTATCCTTGCTGGAGACATGGCCTGCCATGGCTGGAAGCAGTTCCTCTTCTTGGGCAGGCAGAACCCCTTTGCCAGAGATTGGAGGAGCAGGAAGGGAAGCCCTTCTCTGGGTTGGAAACGCTGCTGCCACTGGAGTGCTGGCAGGTCTGTGGACCCCGAGGTGAGAGCGTTTTTGGAGGAGAACACGGAGGTCACCAGCAGCGGGAACCTCACGCCAGAGATACGACTGCGTCTCCTCACCCCTCGCTGCAGGTTCTGGCATGAAAAACTTGACCTGTGGCCTTATGGGGACCCATTCTGGGCGATTTACTGGCCAGGAGGCCAAGCCCTGTCCAGGTATGCAGCACACAAACCACCAAAGTTGATAAAGTAAGGTCCACTGCTGGCGAGCATGTCAGACCTTATGCAGTAGAGAAGCAATCTCTCCTGGCTGGCAGTGAAGTTTCAGCACCTGCCATATGCAGAGTAACTCTGAAATCCTGTTGTCTTCAGTGGAGCTGCATGTGTTGCCAACAGGGCTGAATTTGGATCTCTGGGAGAGCCATGCAGTTGCCATCAAAACTGAGCAAGCTGTTTAATTATATCATTCATGGTCAATACAAAATGGAAAATTTTTATTTTGTGATAGCACAAGGCGTTTTTTTGTAGGAGACAAACAGAAGTGTGAATGTGTATCTGGTTCTGTTGGGAAAAGTAGGTTTATGCTGATGCACTCTGTAGTGCTGATTAGCCTGAATCAGTCTCCTCATCTAGGATTTCAGCAGCTCTATTGTTTCAGTGCTCATAGACCAACAGTAAATGAGTTTTTGAAGAATCCTCCTTTTCTTCTAGTCACGTAAGAATCTGCATTTTGATTCTGGCCACTTACTGTCAAAATGTGTTTGATATTCTTGATTCCCAGGAATTAGCTGGAGTTCCTTTCTCTGGTAAAGTCAAACCTCTCACTTTGAGCAGCTGAAAAAGTTTCTAATTGTTACAGAAGAGCACAAGCTGTCAGTCATCCCCACATAGATGAAAGGGGAATATCTGAGCTATGGCTTTACTGTTCTGCAAGAAAGCAGAAACAGGAAGGCTTTTTCCCACCGGGAAAGAGACTTACAGTTCCAAATTGTGAGTTGATTACCCTGCCATTTAGATGAATTAGAGTGCTCTTAAATATCATATAATTGGATTAGGTAATCTACACATTTTGTTGTCATATGATTCATAGGCCCAGATAGTTGGGTAGCAACACTAAATGATTGACTATTGCTTATGCACTTGTTACGATGACATGGGAATGTCAGAAATTACTTGCATAACCTGGAAAAGTACAAATAAATTAAAAAGAAAAAAAGGGAGCATGAAAACATGCTGTTTCTGCAGCTATGCTTATTTCACAGTTGGCATTTCCACAGCATCAAAAATTTACTATTTATTTCAGACTATTCCTCAGAGAGTAACCTAAGACCCCTTGTTAACCTAGCATGTCTGACAACAGCCTCCAACATCAGCATAAGGTACGCTGTTCATGCCAGGGTATACAGTACATTCCAGTTGTTTTGAGTTACCATAACCATTAGAGGTAACTTGAGAACCATTCCGCTAGAAACAGGGCACTTAAGAGCGTTAGGTCAGATCACAGGCTAAAGACATTACTGCAGGAAAGTCATTGCAAATGCAAGTACAGCCCCTTTCTATGGAAAGCGGAAGTAGGGCACTTCCCGTGGAGGTCCCATCCCTCTCCTCCAACCTGTTTCAACCATGTGCTGTCCTCAAAGGACCAAAACCCACAGGAGGAGTACTGTCAGACAGGTGAGCTGCTGAGCCTCTGCAGAAATGCCCTTCCTGAGTACCCTCAGAATCAGAGGGCATATCTGTACATCTTAAGAGTAGCCAATAATGCTGCAACATTGGGGTAACAATGCAGCAAAGCCCCATGCCAGACCTTAGAGGAGAAGGAGATTTTTATTAAAACTAAACCGGTCTCACTCACTCATTTCATAGCCACATACTCACAAGCATCAAGTAGTGAGTGTCCAAGCACACAGCCCAGAGAGGATTCCCTGTGATGACACAGAAGACAAGAGGCATGCGATGTTGAATCCTCATCATGTCTCCTGGATTCCTAATCTGGGTATTCTATAGCTTTAGTCCTGGTTTTTGCTTCCCTGCCATTATCTCTTAATGCCTTGCACCTTTGTTTTAGTTTGAGGGTAGAGTGTCTTTTTGTCTTTCTCAGTTGGGGTTTCCTGGGAAGCTGCATATAGATGTGCTGGGATCTCAGTGCCAGCAACACCTGACATTCTTATTAGGCCTACTTCTGCCATTCCTTCTGGTGATTCCATGCCTGGACATTTACGTTCATTCGCCATTTACAGCAGTCTTAACGTTTCGGTTACGGTTCTCTACGTTAGAACATCTGTGAAAGTTGTGCTTACCAGCAGCCTGTGACTGTTTCAAGTCAGCCATCAGCTTCCATGCTAGGAGATGACACAAATGTAGACTCCTTTCATGTTTCCAGTTTAACAGACATAATGGCAATTTACAGTAATTTATGTCACCTAAGGCTCTGCACCCTTACAAAAGACTGAATTTCTAGGCCTTTGGTTAAGTTCTGAACCCACAATAATGGCAATATGACCCACAGTATTTCATAGTTACCGCTGCTTGCCTTGTGTCTGTTCTTCCTGTGCATTTCCAGCCTAGAGGCTTTGCTCGCCGATTCCTCTTGGCGGGTGGGTATCAGTGATTAGGTCAAGATATTCTTTCTGCTCACCGTTGCTATAGTCTCATTTTCTTGTTGCTACTCAGGAACATTAAGCAGACTAGAAGTATTTGCATATGTAAGCGCATGACTCAGAAAGAGGAGAAAATCATCTTCTTCCAAGTAGCTGTATAAGCAGTATGGTAGGGCATGGGGAAGCCTTGTCTTTTGAGGGTGGAACCTTCACTGCAAATCCATCTTCATGTTTCTTCAGGCCGATTGCTTGCAATTTCTACAAATGCTTATCAACAGTTTTCCATTTCCTGCTTTTGATACCAAGCATCTTAGTCACCTTACAGTTTGTGTCCATTTATTACGTAAGCTCACCTGTCAGAGACTGAGCTGACTGAAATCAAACTTGTTTACTTGGTTGGATTTTTTTCTTGTGGGGGAAGAGGAAGGGAGGAGGATAGTTTTTTTGTTTTTTATATGAGCAGAGACAAACAAGGAGCTACGTGCCGGCAGCATATGTGGAATAATAATCTATCTTATAGAATATCATGCTTCATTACATGTATGAGAGGAAAGCTCGTGCAGTGTAATACAAAGCTGAGAAATCTGCATAAATGTGTTCATAGCTTTAACAGTTTTCCTTTTGACTTCAGGTATATTTTAGACAATCCGTGTGTTGTTAAAGGGCGATCAGTTTTGGATCTTGGAAGTGGATGTGGAGCAACAGCAATAGCTGCTGTGATGAGTGGCGCATCCCAAGTCCTTGCTAACGACATTGACCCTAGTAAGACCTTGTATTTTTTTTTTAATCTCTGCAAAGATCTTTATTATTTTTTTAAAGCACATTTAGCATTAACTTTTCTTTGACCCATTTGGGAGAAACTTGGTTTCCAAATAGAGTTCTAAGAATGCTAAAAAGATTAATGGATTTTGCCAGTATTAGAAGCTGGGTTGTACCAGGCTCCCTTACACGAAGTGTATCTCCATGTGAGCAGCTCTTTAGAAAGAATAAACAGCAAAGTGTCTACCACGTTTCCTACACCTCATCACAGCTGGTTTGGAAGAGAGCTCCAAGAGCGGGTGGATAAATTAGTTTCTCCCTAGGACCTGAGCAGAGCATTTTGCTGCAGGTTCATATGTTAGGGCCTAGATTTTGCTATTTTTTCTCAGATTTTATTTCCCCTTAAATGACTTCTGCGTTCAGTCTATCCATAATTTAATTACTCATTGATTAGGCAGGAAGTGTATCCACAGATAAGGCAGCTGAATATCCCAGTTTGATCCAGGAGTGCCATTGGTTTCCAATATGAGATAGCTCTTTCCCATGTAGTGGTGTGATGAGGATAAAATTCCACCTTTTTATGCTAGATTTTGATGCATAATGAAGGCTATGGAAGCCGTGAGACAGGATAAACAAAAATACTCTAAGCACTGAAACTGAAAGTTGTGTCAAAGTGTTTGAAATTTGTAATGAGGCTGAAAGGCAGAATCCTAAAACTTAACTTTCATGTACTTTTCTTCAGTTGCAGGAATGGCAATGATCTTAAACTGTGAATTGAACCATCTGAATCCCTTCCCCATCACCATTAAGAACATCATTAATTCAGAGGTGGGCAACTGGGACCTCATTTTTCTAGGGGATATGTTTTATGATGAACAACTTGCTGATGATCTTCATCACTGGCTGAGGAAATGCATCAGGGTACGGCAAACTAAAGTGCTGATCGGTGACCCTGGCAGGCATGAGTTTTTACGGCACAGAATTCACAGTCAATTGCACAAAGTTGTAGAATATTCACTTCCTGAATCTACTAGACAAGAAAACAATGGATTAACATCAAGTATTGTCTGGAGTTATCAGCCCTCAGATAGCTTTAAAAGCTGTTAAGGCTCACTTTATAATTTGGTAATTTGGTCTCACTTGGTTGTTGTTTTTTGTTTTGTTTTTTAAAGTGTATAAAATGAAAACGGGACTTAAACTTGGCACAGATCTGTTGATGCACAGTAGACTACTGTTCCTCTCCTGTACTGATTTCAGCTATACTTGTCAAGACTTTGGCTCCGTTTGAGAAAAACAGCAGGCAAACTTTATTTGAATTGACCTGCACTGAAGTGCCAATCCACAGATAAATTATGCTCAGGAGTTTGCATGCTTGATGTTTTTCATGTATGTTAATGTATTAGTCTCGCTCTTTGATGGTATTGTGAAATGTTTTAGACTTCCACTATACACCTGTGGGGAGGGAGGAGGATGGTGGTTGAAAGATAACTGCGCTCCCTTCTCAGACTTCTGCAGCTCATTTACAAAGAAAATTATTGCTATCCTTCAAGAAACTCTCTCTGCTCGATTATTAGCTCATATCATACTCAACTCAAAGTGCCTTGCTCTTTACCTGGATATCCCTTCTGAATGTAACTAATTGGGATCTCCCTTTTCCCCTCTAAAATAAAGTCAACTCTTCCTTTAAGCCCCAGAGTGATCATTTAGGAACCATGCATAATTCTAAGACATCCTTCTTGACTGTGTTAGTTATTCCAGTTGTTAGTAACTTTTACTAAGTAGTAATAGCTGTAGGGTAACTTTAGCATTTAGACAGGACATTCAAATGATCTACGCTCCCTAACCTTGCAGGGAAAAAAAAGGCAACCTATCATGATAGGGAACTGGTGCAGAATGAAGAAATCTTTCTTTCCATGATGCTTCTAAACAGGGAATGAGAAGAAAAAAAATCAAATATAATTACTTTTTCTTCTCTTCCCGAAGAGAGTCTGAACAACCACCTCCAGAATCATCCTCACCACACTGTGAAGAAACCAAAGTTTTCAGAGCAGTCTTGCAATAATTAGCACCTTTGCAGTAAACTACTGAACAAGCAAAAATGAAGAACTAATAACTGAAGAATGAAACACACTGCATCTACAACTATCCACATACCAGGTGATACAGTAGAAGCTTAAAGATGTGAGAAAGTTTATGACAGTCACTCAGAAAACCATGGTGCTTATGAGGTGGGAGGATTATGAACTCACGCTGATGTACATGGCCACAAATATATAATTTAACAAGCTTTTAAAACTATCCAAAACAGTCAGAGACAAAATTTAATCTTCGAAACAACACATAAATATTCTCATCCACCAATTTACAATAGTAACAACATCCAAATACAATACAGAATATGGAGTGGTAAGGGTATACATGATGTTCTTCTCCCACTTCCAACAATACTTGTAAACATTTGTTGACACTGACTCTGATTTAACCTGAATCAAAAAAAAAAAAAATCTAGTGGAGTTAAGCTAGTACCAAACCCATGAGAGAGCAGACTCAGCCTCTGGAAGTGCAGGATTTAAAGTGATCCAGATTAAACTTCCAAACCTAAGAATACAGCATTATCATTTATGTCTGTGTTGTACAGGCTTTTAAGCACAAGGTGAAGATATGCCACAACGTTCTACCTTTAGAAGGGGGTGGTAGGAGAACACAGTACATCTGCATGCATTTTTAAGGAAAGAATGTAAACTGTATTCGCCACCAACTTAACAAACCAAGGTTCCGGTAATAAGGAGAAAAAAGGCCACCTTAGGCTGTGAGACTACACGTAGCACTGCAGATAGGATTTCTTTTTTTAAGGTTCCTTTGCTGTTAGAAACTCTGGTGGTCTTCCATCTTTAGCTGCTTTACTTTATCTCCATTTGTAATTTTACTTCTGGATGCAGCACCTGAAATGGCAATCTGGCAACCATAGTATGGTTATATGCCCTACAATGAGAGGCTGAGGGAGCTGGGCTTGGTCAGCCTCTGGAAGAGAAGGCTTCAGGGGGACCCAGCAGCAGCCTGCCCATACCTACAAGGAGGTCATCAAGAAGGAGGAGCCAGACTCTCCCCAGCAGTGCACAGACGAGAGATGAGGGCCAAGTTGAAACAGAAGAGGTTCAGACTAGATACAAGGAAGAAAGTTCTCACTGTGAGAACAGTCAAGCAGTGGAACAGGTTGCAGGGAGAGGTTGCTTAGGGCTGTGTCCTCTTCAGTTTTTCAAGATCCAACTGGATAAAGCCATGATCAACCTGGTTTGAGCTCTGAGCTGGCTCTACTTTGGGTAGGAAGATAGACTAGAGACCTCCTGAGGCCCCTTCCAACCTCAGCCATCTTATGAGTCTACTTACTCTTTTTGCAGCACACTTCCTGCGGCAAGGACAGCTAGCTTTGTGTGTTGTTTGAGAAGACTACTGAGCGTGTCAGTGGTGCTACCTACTGAACTA